ATGTTGGCTATTGGTTTGTCATAGATGGTGTTTATCCTTTATGAAAGACTTTATATAACAATTTTCTATAAGGTTTTTTTGTCATGAATGGGGAAAAAGTCAAATGATTTTTCTGCATTGAGATGATCATGTGGTTTTTGTCTTTGGTTTTGTTAATGTGGTGTATTACATTTATTATTATTATTATTATTTTTTTTTTTTTTGGTACTGGGAATCAAACTCAGGACCTTGCTCTTGCCAGGCAAGCATTGTGCCACTGGCCCATGCATTTACTGATTTGCATATGCTGAACCATTCCTGCATCCCTGGATGAATTCCACTTGGTCATGGTGTATAATCTTCTTGCTGCATTCTGTTTCCCAGTATCTTATGGAGGATTTTTGCATATATGATCATTGAGATTTGCTATAGTTCTCTCTTTTGGTTGGATTCATCTCTGGTTTTGGTATCGTGATAATGCTTGTTTCCAGGAATGACTTTGGGAGTATTGCTTTCCTTTCAATTTCATTTAAGAGTTTGAAGAATAGTGAGGGCAAGCCAGGATTACACCTGTAATCCTACCACTCTGGGACACTGAGGCAGTAATATTGCAAGTTCAAACCTAGCCTGGGCAACACAGTGACTTGGTGAGACCCTTCTCAAAATAAAAACATGGCCGGGCATGGTGGCACATGACTATAATCCCAGCACTTAGCAGGCTGAGGTGGGAGGATTGCCATGATTTTGAGGGTAGCCTGGGCTAGATAATGAGTTTTAGGCTAGCCTTGTCTACAAAGCAAGACTCTGTCTATGAATGAATGAATGAATAAATGAAATATGTATATTAAAAAATGGTCCTGAGATGTAGTTCAGTGTGAAGGCCCTGGATTCAATCCTTAGTACCATACACATATACAAAATCTGAGAGGAAGCCTTCTTGATTCCTTAGCTCTTGCCTTATGTATGCCTAAACAACCATCATCATATGGATGACAGCATAAGCAGCAGTGGCCAGGACCCCTTGGACCACGGCTGCAGTGGCTCCTGAATGCCTGAATGGCTGAGCACTGGTGAAACAAATCCCAGGAAATCAATTTCCTGAGTGACCCTTCTCAAGTGGGGGTTCCAGGGCCTCTCTTCTCAACTTAAAGATTTATACTTTTATTCCCTTAAGACTACAATGGGTGGGGTCTTGCTGATTTCTCCTTGTCTTGGTTCAAATACCTGGTGACTTTTTAATGGTGTTTATCTCTTCAGCAATCACTCCCTTTGGCCTCAACCTTATATGTACTTCTTTTCTTGTTGAAAAACTGAAATTTTCCAAATCTTTATGCCTGCTTTTTGTTCCTGATTCTTATAAATTTGGATAAAGGCCCTAACAATACCCATGCCACTGCCTGAACATTGGGCTACCTTGAAATTTACTGCATCAGATTAACTATTCTGTTGCCCTTAAACTTAGCCTCATAAAGTGTTAGAACAAGGACAAAATGTACACAAATTCTTTCCCAGAGGCAGGTAGTCCATCATGGCCACATGCATGCTGGAGAGACAGAGGATCCAGGAGCTGCTCATTCCAAGAGTTGGAAACCTTAGAACAAGATCACACCCCAGGACAAGAAGGATCAAAGATGCAGCACCAGTCTGAGACTAAAGATCTTGAGGATCCCTGGAGATTTGCTTGTGTGGATCCACATTAAAATGCTGAATAAGCTGAAGTCTGACTTCCACAGGTTATGGCAATAGCAGAAGATACCTACTCAAGTTAGAAATTTAGGCTGACTTCCTCTTTCTTCCCTTTTCATCCCATCTGGACTACAAGGCTATTGGATGGTGCCATCCACAATCAGGGTGGATCTTCCCACTTCACTTTGCTGGCCTACACACCAATCATTCCTGGAAATGTCCCTCAGAGACACACCTAGAAGTGTGCTTTATTCATACATCAGGAATCTCTTAATCCAGGCAATCTGAAGATCAAGATTAGCTGTCACAAGTCCCACTACAATTATACATAAATCTGTGCATCAGCTTTTCCATTTTTGCAGAAAGGGCTGTCAGGATTTTGAGAGGAATTGCACTAGATCTGTAGATTACTTTGGGCAGTATTGTCACCTTAACATATTAAGTCTTTCAGCCCCTGAATGTGGATCTCTTTCCACTTAATTAGACCCTCTTTGCTTTCAGTAATGTTTTCTGATTCCAGGGGTGGAACCCAAGGCCTTCAGCATACTAAGCATGCATCCAACCAAGCCTTTGGATTCACCTTTTTAATGAAATTTTCTTCTTTTCATCTCTTGTATCAAGTCTTAAATCTATTTTGTTGATACTGTGTAACTTACCCCTACCCAACTTTGTTACTATTTGCATAATAACTGATTAGGAAGAAATTCCTGTCATTTTTGCTGTTTTTTCCCCCAAAAGCGTCATATCTTTTTCTGTTCCTGACATCATCCAGTACTGCCATGTTTTTAAAAATGTTTTTCTAGTGCACTATTTTTTCCCCTATTTTTTCCCACTATTTTTTCTCATAGTCTTCTTTTTGGGGATAGTAGGGTTGGAACCCAGGGCCACTTCAACACTGAGCTACATCCCCAGCCTTTTACTTTTTTTATTTTGAAGCAAGGTTTCACAACTTTGCCCAGGCTGGGCTCAAATTTCAAATCCTCCTACCTCAGCCTCTCAGAGTGCTGGGATTACAGGTATGCACCATGAGGCCTGGTTTATAGTCCTTATTTTTTAATCTAAAAAAGGCAAAGAAAAGTAAAATGATTTGCCAAAGATCACACACAAAATTTTCTTCATTTCAGAAAATCTTATTGAATGCAAAATATTTACTTGAAAGATTAAGAACTCCTAGAGAAAAAATATAGTGTCGTGGCTTCTTAACCTAACAGTGTTTGCATTTTACTAGGGGAAAACAAGTTTTCTCTTCCTCCTCCTCCTCTTCCTGTTTTGTTTTGATTTGTTTTGTTTTGTTTTACTGTAGATGTAAACCGGAGCCTCCTGCTTGCTACCCAAGTACCCTAAGGATGACCAGCACCCCGGTTTCCTTTCATATTTAAATCTCAGAGTGTCAGAATATATTTGTTGCCTTGCTTGTTTTTTTTTTTTTAATAAAACATTTTTTAAAAGTTTTTTTCCTCCCCCAGTGAGGGCCTTTCTCATGCTGCGTAAGTGCTCTACCAACGGAGGTACATCCCCACCCTAGAGCAGCTTTAAAATCACAGGAAAAAAAGTGAGTGAACAGTACAGAGAGTTTCTGGATGCCCCCAATACACGTACGTGTGCATGTGCATGCGCATGAGCGCGCGTGCGCGCACGCACACACACACACACACACACACACACACACACACACACACGGCCTCCCTTGCAAACAACCGTAGTGTGTCGCATTTGTTAAAGGTGATGAACTCACCATAGCACACAATATCGAGTCTGAAAGTTTGTGTGGGTGATGCGCATTTTATGAAGTGAGATAAATGTGCAGTGCCGTGTACCTACCATCACAGTGCCTCACAGAATAGTTTCCCTGCTGTAAAAATCCCCCACGCCCCTTCTAGTCATCCTTTCTCTCTCCCCTGAACTGCTCACAACATGCACCCCCCTCTCCTAGTTCTCTCTGCCCTCTCCTCTTCTTTCCCCCCTCCCCTCCACCTGGTAGTCTCCTTAGGCACACGTGGGTGCACCTGATAGTGTCCCACAGGACTCTTAGGGGCCATGCATTTTTCTTCTGTTTGGTTTTCCTGATTGCATGGCTTCAATTATCTTATATTCAAGTTTCCTGACTTTTTTCCTTTTTTCCTTGTGTTTTGTTTTGTTTTGTTGAGACATGGTCTCAGTCTGGCCTTGAACTATGTAGCCCAGGCTGGCCCAACTCATCATGATCCTCCTGCCTCAGCCTCCCAAGTGCTGGGATTACAGGCGTGCACCATCACGCCTGTTTGCTGCTTCTTTCTTATACCTTTCAAACCTGTGCCTATAACCCTCCAGTGAATTTTCCAACTACTCAACTCCGCAATTTCTATTTGGCTCTTTTGATATTTTCTCTTTATTAATATTTTCCATCATTCTTCTGCTTGCCTTCATTCTCTGCGCATGGTTTGCCTTAATTCCAAGGATTTTAATACAGGTGGAGCCCTCAATTCTCTCTGCCAATTTTGCTGACGTTCCTCTCAAATTCTTAAAATTTCTGTTTTGCACTTTTACTTTCTTTGAGTATGTTTAAGTACTTTCAACTTAATCTCTTCCAGGTTTGGTTTTAATAATCTCTGAGTCTCACGCATGCATTGAAAAGAAGATACAAGCAAGTAAACGGCCTTTGGGGCTCCCAATCCACAGAATCAAATACCTGTCCTTAGCGCTATTTAGCAGTTCGGAGGTTCGTTCTCTCACGTGCTGGAGGCGGACGTGCGTGCAGAAATTTCTGTCCATCACCCGTGCTTGATCAAACACGGGCGCTGACAACACGAGGGACGAGTGGCCCAAACACCCCCTGGTTTTACTGTTTTGGACCTTGTCCTCTTTTTCTAAACACAGATATTGGGAGGCTTATCTTTAAAAGTCCACATTTTTGGAAATAAATGTTTAGTGTACATGTACGGCTGTCTTGACACAGAACACAGAAAAATGGGGCACAGTTAGAACGCCTTCGCCCCAAGGCAGGAGGGAAACAATCTCATCTGATAGCTGAGCACAACGCTCATAAGAGGGCGCTAAAGTCAACAAAGTTTACCCTTTCTGGAAACTTCTGTTCATATTTAAATTCAGTTACAGCTCCGCAAAAGCACTTCGCATTTTCAGCATTTGATTTAGAGGGCACGGCGCGGAGAAGGACTGAAGTGTGCCCGCGGGCTCCCCAAACTGCGCGTGGCCGCTCGGCCCCGGAGCCGCGGGCCTTCCCGCGCTG